ATTTGAATTAAGCACAACATATATTATATAGTGTGTTAAATCACATTTTTCAGAGTTTGATCTGTAAGATTAATTTTAAAAACTCCCAATTTCTGGTTTTCATTTGGCAACACCCAATTCAACTTAATTCTTAAAAAAAAAAAAAAAAAGGAAAAAAAGCAAATAAAGGTCAAATCAAGAACATAAATACTTATTTACTATTGTGCAATGCTCTTCAAAACCAGTTCATTCTCATCAATCACGTTAATTAGTCTGTGAAGGTAAAGATCATTATCAATCAACGGAACTAAAATCAGTAAATCAACCAAGAACATAAATAATTATTTACCATCCTACTATGTCTTCAAATCATTTCGTCTACATTAACCATTTCATTCAGCATATTATATAAATATCATTATTAGTTGGTGATATCATCAAGCTACAAATAAAGATATAAATACTTAACTGCGCATTGATTATTTTTATTTAACCTGTGGGTATAAAGATAATTTGGAGTTAAAATCAACAAAACAAAAAAAAAATAAAATAACCAAATAAATAAAAAAACAGCAAATCAAGGTTACAAATTAAGACATAAATACCTATTTACTATTGCAATGCCCTTAAATTAGGGTTATTAGTTATTTAGTCTGTGAAGGTAAGGATCATTTTAATCGACAAAATTAAATAGCCAAATTACCAAGAGCATAAATACTTATTTACCATCTCATAATGCCTTCAAATATTGTTCAGTATGTAAATACGAATATCATTAGTTGGTGAAATAAAATCATCAACAAGTTCACAAATTAAAACATAAATACTTATTTATAGTGTTTTAAATCATTTCATTCACCTTGATCATCTTCATCCAACCCAAAAGTATAAAGATAGTTTATTATAAGTGAAAAAAAAACAGCAATCAAGATCACAAATTAAGAATATAAATACATTTACCATTGTGCAAAGCCCTTCATTTGCATTAATCACATTATTCAGGCTATGAAGGTAAGAATTATATTAATTGATAAAACAAAAATCAGTAAATCATAATGTTTATTACTATCATGACAGAGCCACCGGATTTTAGCAATAGCAAAAATAGCACTAGCTATATTACAACAACTTAACCAAATCTGACTAATATTGTTTTATTTTAATTTTTATGTCAATAGAATAAAAATAAGCCAATTTTCGGTCAGATTTGGTCAAGTGGTAGTCGTGATATAACTAGTGCTATTTTTGCTATTGCTAAAATTTGATGGCTCTGCATTACGATTCCCTTCAAATTATTTTGTTCATATTAACATGTTATTTAGTATTAGAATATAAAGATTGTTAGTGGTGAAATTAAAATTATTAAGTTCACAAATTAAGACATAAATACTTATTACTATTATATAATATCTTTTAAATCAGTTCATTTACATTAATTAGTCTACAAATATAAAAATCAGTTGTTACTAAGTGGAGTTAAAATCAGTGTAAAATAATAAAATAAAATAAAAAGAAAAAGCTGAATCAGTTCACAAATCAATAGCATAAATATAGTGAAACCTCTATAAGTGCACACACTTTGGGAAAGAGAATGTGCATTTATAGGGGCATGTATATATTTGGGCCAGAACTTGAGCGTGCATTTAGAGAGGGTGTGCACTTATAGAGAGTACACTTTTGGAGGCTTTACAGTACTTATTTCCTGTGATGCAATACCCATTAAATCAATTCATACAGCTTGTGAAATAAAGATCATCACAGTAAAGCCTCACAAGTGCACCCTCTATAAGTGTATACCCTCTCTAAATGCACACTCAAGTTCTGGCCCAAATATATACATGCCCTATAAATGCGCATTCTCTTATCGATCTTTAAGTGCATGTTATTAAAGCTTGGTCCCAAGTGCGTGCACTTATAGAGGTTTTACTGTAATCGGTAATAAATAGAATTAAAATCAACAAATACAGTTACAAATTTAAAATTAAGAGCATAAAGACTTTTTTACCCTGAATCCTTGCATTAATTATTTTACTCGCGCCCTTTACATGTCAACTCTGGCTCTGTACCATTCTTGTTCTGATCAAGGAATAAATATGTCTTAGTGTACTGTGTTGTACCTGCGTTTTTGCGCTTTCCAACACCAAACTGTATGTCTAAGTATTATATAATCTGTTTAAATCTGTAGATTTTGGTAGAGTTAATAAAAGTCTACAAGCCCCACTTTTGGCTAAATAAGACATTTTTAAACAGTTAAAAAATTAAAAAAATGAATATAAATTTGTCTGAGCTAAAAACAAAGCATTGTTAAATACCTCAATTTATTTTATTTAGTCTAATTAATACAATATTAATTTAGTAAATGCCGTGTGCTTACAAAGTGAAGTGTATTAAAAAAAATTATATTTAATAATTGATAATCTAACGCTTATGGTTTCGCTCTATCGCTTGTGTTACTTTAACACTATATTCGTTAAAAATTTTTTGACTTTTACTATAACCCAAAAATTTTAATTCAAGCCCTGCTTATAAGTGATCTGCATCATATTCTATTATAAAAAATTCTCTAATTAACTGACGGATCATCAATTAATACAATCATTGACAATCTTATTTCCTCTAGTTTATTCTTATATAGCCTTCGAGAGTTGTATGCCACTTTGAAATAATTTATATTCGGTCTAACTAGATCGTTAAAAATCTATTACCAATATTAAAAATACTTCCTAATTTATAATGCGGATTCAAGTTGAATTTTTAGTGCAATTATCAACAACTTTATTTCTATTGGTACAGCTTTATTGCTTTCTGAATATCACATGCCACCTAAAATAACTTTATCCAGGTTGATAATAATCTATCACCGATTTTGTAAATATTATTCTATTAGAGGAATCTATGCATTTCAATCTTAATAATTGCAGCTTTGAGCTAAATTCTTTGATACAATTTTCGATAACCTTATTTCCCTAGTCCATTCTTATGTTGCTTTTGAGAATTGCATACTACTTGAAATGATTTATTCTAGCTCGCTAAAATCTATCACTGGTCTTATTAATACTACCTAACCTATTAAAAAAATACACATAATTACATCTTGATAAGTGTAGCTTTAGATTGGATTTCTTTAATACAATCGTTTACAATATTACCTCTATTGATATATTCCTATTGTCTTCTGAATAGCGCATATTATCTGAAATGATTCTATCCAGGTTGCTAAAAATTTATCATTGGTTTTATGAATATTATCTAATCTATTAAAATAATCCACTTAATTAATATCTTCATAAGTGTGGCTTTAGGTTGAAATTCTTTAATAAATCGTTGACAACTTACCTCTAATAGACCACCCTTATATTGTCTAAAGTTGCACGCCACTTGAATTCATCACTAATCTTCTAAATAATAGTTAATCTATTAAAGGAATCCACTTGCTTATATCTTTGTAAGTGCAGCTTTAAATTAAATATGTTTTCTGAGAGCCACATATTACAAAAGGTAATCTATATTCAATCTAACCAAACTGCTAAAAATTCACCTTAATGTTTTAAATTTTATTAAACCTTTTCTTCAAAACTTTTACTCTAGACATCAGC